AATTACCTTGGGAAAATTTTTGTGCATTGTTTTTGTGCAAAATTACTGTAAAAGTAAGTGACACACCCCCGGGATCGAGGCATGCTGGCCGTCACGTGAGGGTGACGTAGCCATGTGCACAATGCGGAAGCAATAGGGATAAGAATATACGAATAAATGAAAACCGAAAGCTACTAAAGTGCACTAATAAACAAGAAGTGTTAAGAGTGAGATACAAAAGTAAATACTCCTAATCATAGCATAGAAAGTCTAGGTGCAGTCCAGTAGGACAAGTACTAATTATACAGTACCAGAAGATGTCCTACTAAATATATAATTTGTCAGAACAGCCGAAATCCTCAAACGCCACCAATAACAAGCCAACCTAAAACCTGGAGGGACGCAAAACAGAAAACGTGAGTGGGCAAAAAAATAAATGTTTTACAAAACCATTTCATCATTAAAATGCTCTAACCCCTCGCTGTAAAACATGTATAGATTTTCCCAGAAATAGAATATAACATATACATCAACATATATATAATTAACTCAATTCAAATCATGCTTCACATAACCATATTCATAAGTATGCCATGCCAAAACATAAAATAGAATAAATAATTCAGGTGAGAATAATTTCATGGAAGATAACATATTAGCCAGAACCCCTGCATAAGTCTGTACGGCTGAATTCATAGCTCATTAGTCAATCTAGCCGGAGTCATTACCATGACCTATACGGCACTACACTGCACATAAGTCGAAACCACTAAAAAAAGTCTGTACGACAAGACTGGGTGTAATATAATTATGCTTAATACTACTCTCTCATGATAGCTGTGTGATAATTCGCTAGTCACTTACGAGTCGGAACCACCTATGATGGTCTGTACGACAGGACTGTGCACCTAAATTGGATCCAATGTGAGCATATAGTGCGGGATGTAACATTATAAACAGGCATGTGCCATATCTCTGGCTAAATCACAATCACCCTAGGTGCAGGTTTATGAGCTTCACTTTTCTCAATCACAACTTTAATCACATTCACAATTTATAACTCACCTGGGCTTACCTGAGCATCCACAGCACCACAATTATATATATTATGCATCATATACTAATTCACATACGAAATATAAATTTATATGCATGGCATTCAAGGCATACTTTCATTTAACCGCATTTTCTGGGAAAATATCAAGTATATAAATATTTACTGAAAACCAAAAGCCCACTCACTGATATGTCGAAAGGTCGTAGGCCCCAAGTCATCCTTGACTGCGCTCATCCTCGGAATAAGCCTCCCCTTTTATGAGCCCTAAAACCCACGGGATTCGCCGAAAAACTCCTCGATATTCCGGCCAAACCTGCAACTCGTCGAATCTCACTATTCCGACGTCCAAAATCTTCCAACGAACCACTTCTAGCCTCGTGAGGACCTCCTTAAGCTACTTAAAAATGGTACCATTTGACTTGTATGAGCCTAAAGAACACAATGGTGTCCTTTAAACCCTCGATCTGCAAGCTTCCTTCTAGATTTGATGTTGGTCCGTACGTGAGGGAAGGAGAGAGAGTGAGTCTAAGGGTGAGAGAGCATGGGAGAGAAGTGAGAGGAAGAGTTTGTGTGCGTGTGAGTGGTCCACGTGGTCACCAACCAAAACCACAAAACAAATTTCCAAATTTTGTTCCAAAAATTAAGGAAAATGCAAGTTTGGACCACCATTTACATGCATAACACACCACAATGCTCACATCCCAGGGTAAAATAGTCAATTCACGTCATCGATAATTTATTTTGGGACGGGCTGTGACAGTGAGTGAACAAATTTTTTATTCCCATTACTGTAAACCAAGCATGGAAATTGGACAAATACTTTACACTATGTTTGGATGAAGAAATTTAAGATTACTAAAGAATTTTAAAATGACGGTAATTGAAATAACGAGACTTTATTTTCTAGAATTTGTGAATTTTCTTGTTTGGTTAACCTAAAAGAACAATGGAATTGAATATGGAATTTGTTAGTTTTAAACTCTCAATCATAAAAATTGGGAAATGACACCTATTTACATGGAATTTAAACTTGGGAATTGGAGGTGCCAAATTCCAAGTTTTTTTCTATGCATAAATTCTAAATTTCTATGTTTATGAAGCCAAACAAAGGAATTGGTGCATGTCAATTTGTAAATTCTGACTTTTATCCAAATTCCAAGTTTATTTCCTTCATCCAAACATAGTGTTATGGTCTCATTTCCTACTGTTTGAGTTTCCATATAGATATGTGAATGAAAATCTTCCATTATCTTCTCTAAATAGACATAATGAAAAAAAAAATATATATATATATATATAAATTTTTTTTTTTTGAAGAAGAATGAAAAAATTATGCATGTTCACACTATTTTAATAAAGGAAAAAAATGCCTAGTTCCAACTGTTATTATCGCGGCAGCATCAGACATCAAAAGAAGTATACATGTTCACACTATTGTTTAGAAGTGTTCTCACTACAATTATCAACGGATCAGCTAAAAAAAATTATCTAACCATGCTTTTTCTTACCACCATTTTTTCCACCCTTTGAAACCTTAACGTGAAAATTTAATACCCATATCCCAATATTTTAAAAGGTGTTGGGCACTAGTTAAGCGGCGGACAGGGGACTAGTTGCTAAGCGGGGGCCTAGTTGTTATTGTTAATTAATCTTATTATATAGCATGCAAGTAAATGTTTATTTATACTTAATATATATATATATATATATATATATATGTGTGTGTGTGTGTAATTGTATTGAGATAACAATTGCAAACTAGAATGATATATAAATTATAAAGTACTTGAACATATTAAAAACATGAGAAATAATCATATAATGACTGTTCGTCTATATCCAATAAGTCTCTCTTACAATTTATTGAAAAGATAAAATGCAAAATGAAAGTTATCTATTTTCTATATAAGTCAGATTTGCGGCCTAGGCGATTTTGAAGGGTCTAAGCGCCCTTTCTTATTTTTTCAAATGTTTAGTGATTAATTATGGCGTAGCTAGCTACCTAGCATCGAGATGGTGCCGAAACGGTCCGCGCGAACCCTTAGAATACTAGTCACAACACGCAAAGTCGAAATATATCTCATCATTGGGAAACTAAATGGTCAGTAGTTCCGAAAGGTATTCATGAGAAAGCAATTCTTGTATTTTGGGTAACATAGACTTGCTGGTTCATCAATCTTCATCAAAATGTAAGCAATTAAATAAGACTTCTTATATCGACAAAAAAGAAAAACAAGACTTCTAATATTGCTGCTGCTTGATCAGTTTTTACCATTCAATTAACAGACATTTAACATAAAATCAATTTTGGACTAGATTTTCTAACGAATTACACCACGAGAGTTTAAATTCTTATTTTATTTACCACGAGGGTTATCTTCCGATTATCTTATCATCACAAGGACCGTTTATTCAATTAAGCCTTTTATTTTTGTGTTTGAAACAAAGGGTAAGCACATGAGAGAAATATAAAAGAGTAGAGAGAAGACAGTAGAGAAACGTAGAAGACATATGTATAAAGAAAGACACCCAAAATAAACTGAAAACCAAAACTATTTCCAAGTTATTTTCACTTTCAATATTTTGGTTTCATTCTTATTGTTTTTACCCCTCTCTCGCATTACCCTTCACCCTCATTTCCTCTTATTTCAAGCACATAAATAAAAATTATCTTAAAAACTAAAAGTAAAATAATTATCAAACATGACCTCAATTGCTTAATTATTTTCTTGCGTGCTCATATATAATGCATTATTATATTTTTTGGATATATATCAATATGCATAATTTTCAGCCAAATAAAACAAAAACATATACGCACTAAATTGACTTTAATTGGCGGTCGTATCACATTTGTGAGAACATATGCAATGCCAACAAAACGTGTCAAATTTTGCGACAAGGTGCCAAAACGAAAATAATAGGTTATAATATATATTTATATATATCCCTATCTTCGAGTGTACGTAGGGGCTTATGTATCACATCCGCAATATTCATATATGATGAGGAGTGCTCTAGCTATGATTTTCCCAGAGACTATAGAATTCTGGTATTTGTGTGAAAAAGGTTTTTGTTTTCCTTTTCGGGACCAAACGAGAGAAAAAACCTAAAATCCAATACTACCTGATCGAACCAACATCATTAATTATCTGATCTGTGTGGACGCTGACCTTTAACCTGTAAAACCTCTCATTTCAAAGATATTAATGCATGTGTTTGGTAATCGAATAGACTGTCAGATGTTAACATTGAAATCTAGCAGTCGTTTGAACATCCATGTAATATCTAGAACAAAAACCCTTGGGTTACAGAATTAAAATAAATAGTAAAAGACAGTGATCTTGCAATATAATGAGTATCCATTCCTTTCAATGAAAAAAAAAAAACATGTAATTGGTACTATTTGATTAGTATTCAATTAAGTATGGAACGGCTCTTCACAAATAAGTTATGCAAAACTCCATTTTATAGCAAGAAAAAAAACACTTAAATTGTCGTTTGATTTGCCATTTGTAAACTCGGATTATGGTAATGAGTATGAGATACCATTCCGATGTTTTTGTAAACATATTGTTGGGAATGTGATACGTACTTGCCAAATGAGTATGAACTTCACATGCAAAGGGAATTTCATACATTTTCCTTACTTACCTTGGGAAAACTTTTATGCATTGTTTTTGTCCAATTATCTATTCTAAAATTGAGGAAGGATTTGACTGTAGCTTAGCTACAGTCAAAATTTTGCCCTTTGATTTTGCTTTATTTGCGCCACTACCATCGTATCTGTGGTTGAGTTGGAGGGTAATTATATAAAATTAGAAGGGTAATATTGTCTCTGAACAGCTTTCAAGATATTTACAGTTTTGCCAGTTTTGTTGTGAGATGGGCCCTTGCATTATTTACATATCTGCCATTTTCGAGAGACGTGGGTTGCAGAGACGGAGAGGGGTATAGGCGTGGGATGGCAGGGAGGGAAAGGGACAGGGAGGAGTGAGGCTGCCAAAAAGGGGGGTTAGGGTTGATTTTTTCTCCTCAAATCAAGGGTTGGTGTCGGTGATTGAGAGATTGAGAGGGATGGGAGAGAGACAGAAACACACCCATTTGGCCTTCATTTCCCTTTCTCAAACCCTAGCAGCAACAACACCAACTCTAGCCGATCTCTGCAATAGCGTCGGCTCCTGCTTCTGAAAACCAAAACCGCACAAACCTGGCCTCCATTTCTGTAACTGGAGCTTCGTCTCTCTGAATCTAACTCTGAATATCAACAAGGTCTCTCTCTCGCGTATAATTTTGAATTTTTGGAATTTATCTTGGAATTTTGTCTTTGATTCTCCTTTCTGTTTGTGCTTTTACATTTTTGCAAGTCGGCGAGAAGCCGAGCTTAGCTCTTTCTATAGCTCCGTTCTCTCCCATGGCCAGGTATGCCCTCTTTCTCTCACTCTATTGCACTCACAAGCTCACGTTTTGAAAACCTAGCTCCAAAGCTCTAAAGCTCCAAGTTAAGGACTTTTTGAATGCTAATAAAATATAAGAGGCAGCAAAGAAGTTGAAATTTCAATTTTTTTCTTGTTTTTTGGTTGGATGAGCATTTAGATGGAGTGAACTCTGCTAGAAGTGAGAACTGGGCTTACCCCAATTTTTATTTTTCAGTTAAAGAACATGGTGATTAATTTCCGTTCTTTTGTTCGGGCATGAAATTGGAGGCTGAATTATTAGGATGATTTGGTAAATTACAGTGAAACCTTTGCTACTCGATGTATGTGTATGCATGATATGTGTATGTGTGATTTTAGATTGTAATGTATCACAATTTTGTGGCATGAAAATTGACATTTTTAGACTTACCCTGTGGTGAGATTTTTGCATGATTTTTTTTTTTTGGGGGGTTTGTGGGGTTTTTTTAGAGATTTATCTGTGAAAGCATTGTTATATGATTTTTTTTAATGTGGGTTTTGATTGTTTGGTTATAATTTTGGGTATCTGTTTTGGTTTTTTGAATCGGTTTTTGTGTAAGTCAAAGTTTTGTGGATGATCGTTGGTTCTGAATGAATCGAGTAAATATATGGCTTTGCTTCCCATCTACTGAAAAGGTTACCCTTCTTCTCTCTACAAATTCCCTTCTAACTGTCCGCACTTTTACAAAACCAAAAACCAATTTTATAAATTTTGATCACATTTTTCTTCAGATTACAGAGAGAGAAAGGGTTTGTATATTTTTTCTATATTCAGAGAGAGAGGATTTGAGGTGGGTGGAGTGATGAGTGTTTAGGATTTTTTATGGGAGGGATGAGAAAAGAGTAAAAACGATCAGGAAAATCGAATTCTTTCTCTGAAAGTTCATCAACACTTTGTAAGAACTCCAATTCTTTCTCTCATATTTCATCTGGTTCTGTTAATTTTTGTAAATTTTCAGATTATGGGTCGTTCCCAATTTCCATTTTTTCTTTGGGGTTTATGTTGTTTTGATGGAAAAAGGTCGTATTAGCAAATAGATGATATTTCAAAATTACGGTCGTCGGATTCACTTATTTTTGTTCATCTCTAATTTTCTGGATTTTTCCATGTACGTTACAGAATTTACTGACATTTGATAAATGTTAAGCGAAGTTCTTCAATGAATCTCTCAAGGTGCTCGAAGCTGATATTCAGTTCGCCAACACTCTGTAAGAACTCCAATTCTTTCTCTACTTACACAATTCTAAAGCACTGTGTAATAAACAGTGGAATTTTTATTCAGATTGTAGTAATTGCCGTGAAATTTTTCCCCAATATGTTTATACACTTACGGTACTCCAATCTCTCTCTCTCTCTCTCTCTCTCATTTCTTTTTGGTTTTGGAAATCTCTGACTTTCGATGGTTTTGTTTTCTTGCAGATGTCCATGAATTTTACGGACTTCCTGTGTAATCCTTGCCTCAGAAAGCAATCTCGACGTCGTTGCTGGTGGAGGAACGCCGTCATATGAGCCCCGGAGCACGCTGCTGCTGGTAATTTTACTTTTTTGATTTTATATGAATTTGTTGTTTGTTTGATGAGAAAACATGGAAAACTAGAGAAATTTTTTGAATTTAAGGTTGCTATAACACAAATCTCACTATGATTTGTGATGGATTTTGGGTATCTTTCCTTTCTTATGCTTTTTATACTACTTGCATCAACCCCTTTTCGTTTTTTGTCTTATCTTCCAACTTATGCCCTCAATGATATTAGATAAGGCGTTTTTAAATTTATTGCTAATATTTTGAACTTTGTGTTGTACTAATGCCATAAGGCATTTTGATTTTTGACATTTTGTTACGTTGGTTGGAGAGTTGGAGACTTTTGCTCTCTTTGCATTTTACTGTGCTGGTTGGAGACTTGCGAACTATTGATTTTCAATGCTATTGCCCTTGGTATTCCTTACAATTATTGATTTTGAGTGCTATTGCTTCCTTTATTCTTTAGAATCGAGTAGTGGAATTTTGAATGAGACAGGATTGTTTGTATGACTTTGTGCTTTCCCATATGGGTTTAATTTTGCACAGCTTGAAATGTTGACATTGTTTTTGTTCATGTAACTTTGGTTCATTTTCGTCGTGGGATGAGATTGGGATCTATTTCTTTGTTTCAGTTTTTGCATATCAAAATTTCGAGAGCTATTTGATAAGAATCAAGCCTGTATAGAGTCAGGTTTTATAACTCACCATTTCCAATAGCTATTTGGTAATAGGACGAGTAATTAAAGAGTGAGTTCATATATATAAAATCCTGTTTTAGCTTACTTTTTCCCTTATGAATATTTCTTCATCTGATAGGCTGATGCTTGGGCTACTGAGAATTTTTCCTCGGTACCAAAATGCTCATCTGGCCAAATTATAGGACAGGCGTGCAGTTCTTATTTATTTAATTTTTTCTTTTTTCTCTCTTTTTGGTACTTTTCATGTGTATTCACTTGGGAAAAATACTTTAGTCTTAATGATATTAATGTTGCATGATCTATTTTCTTCTGGAGCCATAAAATCTGCAAGAGGTTTCCAAGTATACAATGAGGTTGCTGGCCTTTCAGGGCTTAACTTCGCTTACACAGATAACACTGCAGTATACCATACAAAGGTTTTTTTATTCCCTTTTTCCCCCTTTTTTGGGATATTAGTTACAAAATCTGTTTGGAGCATAAGTGTGAAACTAACAGGAGGGGTTAGTAAGTTAATTAGTTAATATGATTCTCAATGGATATGAGTTAGAGAACTCATTGCAATTTGCAGAGATTTCCTAAAGACAAAAAGAAAACAATGTTTGTTTTGAGTACTTCTCGCGTCATTGAGGCACAAATGTTGTACCTGCATTAATTAATTTTCTTTATATCGAAATTGAATAAATCTAATTTTCCTCGATATCCAAATGTATTAAAGTAATTGTGATTGAAGTTTGTTTATGTCTGCTTTCCAAGATTCATTTTTTGGTTACCAGATATCTCACTCTGTTTACAAGTGCTTTTTTGTTAACTAAAAAAAGGCTTTTTATTCTTCGGCTTACATGACTTCCTCACAATACCAAAGTACAAGAGAAACAAAGATTGGAGGTAATTTTTGCTCTAACTTCTTTAGAAGTTAACTGACAATAGTTTCTAAGATATGTATTGTGCATTTGGCCAGTGTTAACTACCGAATCGATTAAAAAACATTTTGTAGGGGCTGTGCCGCCGTTCAGTTACTCTTGGGCACTTGAGGAGGTGTGATCATATGCCTCACTTCGGGTACGAGCTCTCACTACTCTGTTTATTTGTTCTCAAAAGATTTGTAATTGATGTTGGAGCAATGTCATTGTAGTACTAATCCCTAAATGTATTTCGTTAATGTAAAGTTTATAGAATACAAAATCAAACTGAAACATTTATTTTACCATGTGTATTCAACTGCTTTGATTTGTTCCTGAATTATATAGAGATCGGTGTGTTCAATTGTGGTTTGCAGAAATTTCTGAAGTAAAATATTCATTAAATGTTTTGTGAAATAGACATTTTTCAATAGGGTAGTTGTGCTGCTGGTTTTTTGATGATGTGCCTGATGTTTATTTTGGATTGAATTTCAACTTCTACATAGATTTATGATTAGTAAACTCTCATGGAAGTTTGGAAATGATAATTTGTTCACGAGCTTATGTGTGCTGTAATTGAGTGTGTTAGCGTTATTTTACTTTTTGTTCAGATGTTAAGAAAAAATTCCTCAACTTTACAAGGAATGGGGAAAGATGAATATACTAATACACTTCGTTTTCTCTTCAATATCAGTGATGAATATACTTCGTTTGCATCTTTCTTGATAATATTTTCCCACTTTCCCTTTAAAATATTTGAAAGCATTGCTGATTTTGCGTTTGTATTTACTTTGTTAGGAATTGATATTAGGAGGTGTTAAATGGACCGTTGGAATTGAGTTTCGAGTCTCTGAGGGACATAATGAGATGGGTTATTGATGAAAGGATTTGGAGGAGAAGGTGGACAAGAAACCAGTGCATTGGATGCACAATATCAGTGATGAACACTTTTCCTTATCTTTGTTTAGAAAAAATTTGAAAGAGCCACTGGTTTTGAACGTGCTTAAATGCAAGATTATTTGCAAAATTTTGTTTAAATTTTTTAATGTTTAGATTTTTATTCCATAAAAATTGTGAGAGGAAATATATAATGATAGACAAAAAACTATGTTAAACAAGTTTGGATGGTTTAAATTATAGAATTATTTTGGTTGATGGTAGAGACGGTTTCAAATCCCGCGGCAGAGCGCGGGCATTCCTGCTAGTTTACCCTAAAAGTAAGTGAACAAGTTTCTTATTCCCATTACTGTAAACCAAGCATGGAAATTAGACATACTTTATGGTCTAATTTCCTAATGTTTGAGTTTCCATATATGTGAATGAAAATCTTTCATCATCTTCTCTAAATAGACATGGAAAAGAAAATTATATTTAAAGAAACATTTTAAAGGAAAAACAAAAGTAATTTAGCCAATGATCAATAAAAACTTTACTATTAAGTCATATATCAATGACATATTTTTGTTTTGGACTTAATCAATGATGATATATTTTTATTAATTAGGCATAGGTCAATGATGAATGCCACTTAGGCTCTTAAGTCATTATAAATAGTTATAATTTGACTATTCTATCATTCACTCTCTCTTTCTCTCTCTATAAATGTTATATGGGTTTAAGCTATTTTAAATATGGATTTAGATCATCTTCGGATCAATTTGTGGAGATCCTCCGGGCCGATGGATGTCATCCATTGATACAAATCCAACGGCCAAAATCGCTTATCCTTCATCTTTTCCCCTCAACTCTTCTCTTTCTCCCTCACTTCGAAGTTCTCAACCTAGAACCACCAACTCCTCAAATTCCAAATTAAATTCAACCTCACCTCAAAATCAACCCCAACATTGCCACAACCCACCCAACCCACAACCACCAATTGCAAGACCCTCACCTTACCCTTACTAAAATCAGCCGCACCACCACCACATCCCTTAGTTGCAAGTCCCTTGACCTTAAAATCTCAGCTGATGTTAATGAAACAACAAAGAGAGGGGTCGTGCAAACCAATGTCTTTTGGCTGCAGAGATCTTTTCATAACTATGGAAGAATTAGAGTGAGAGAAATCTCACAGACGATGAAGAAGAAAGAGATGACAAATAAAAAACTAAAACAGTAAGGGATAGTGAAAATTAAATTAGATTTAGAGCACAAATGACCTGCAATTGAATTTGGGGTTTGTTAACAATAGTGGGGTGTGGGGGTGCAAGGGAGAAATAAGAGTTGAGGGGGAAGAGGATTCGGCTGTTGGATTTCTATTCCTATAGAACTGATCTTGAGATGATCTATATCCAATAAATAGTTAGAATATGTATATTCTATCACTCTCTCTCGCCCTCGTTTACACGAAGGAGTCTACTCAAGTCAGGAAAAGAGAACTAGGAAACGGACACTGGACACTGCATTGTAGTGTTCGAATCCAATTGTAAAAAAACAGAACCAAGAAACGGACTGTGCATTATAGTGTCTAAATCTAAATGTAAAAAACAGAGCTAGGAAATAGACATTGCATTACAATGTACAATGTCTGAATCTAAATGTAAAATCAGTATCTGTGTGAGGTGTGAAGTGTAAGAGAAATGTGAGTGATGAAAAAAATAGAACCATGAAACGGATACTGCAACGCAGCATCTGAATCCAAAAGTGAAAAACAAAACCAGGAAACGGACACTACATTGCAGTGTTTGAATCCAAATGTACAAAGGAACATGTAAGAGGTGTGTGAGTAATGGAAAAAACGAAACCAATAAATGGACACTACAACTCAGTGTTTGAATCCAAATGTAAAAAACAGAATCAGGAAATAGACACTGCATTGCAATGTCTGATCCGTATTGACTTATTCCAAATATAAAACTATAAGAAAGAGAGTGTTAGTTGAAGTGGGTGCCAGCTATAGTTGCATATTTTGTAATTTATGTTTAGTTTAAATGCATTTAAGTATCACAATATATGATTAATCTATTTATAATTAACATAAATATTGTTGATGTATTATTAATATTGTAATTTTTTATTGATTTTTCCCAAAATCACTCAAAAAAAGCCTAGTTCCCAGTGTTATTATCGTGGCAGCATTTGACATTTAAAGTTTACATATTCACAGTTTGTTTTGAAGTGTTTCTCCCTAACAATTGTTAGTGGACCGGGCTAAAAAAGCTGCTTGACCATGTTTTTTTCTTACCACCATTTTTTCCACCCTTTGAAACCCTAAAGTGGGTAAACACTCATGTATTGGTGACAACTAAAGTTCTAAAAAGAATGCTATTAGGGTGGTAGGCATGAATCTAGTGTCTAGCGGGATTTAGGGGTTTTTTTTTTTTTTTTTTGGGGGGGGGGGGCTTAGGTTTTTTTCTATACCGTACGGTAATATCATGGTAATGGTATTCATTACCAATACCGTACCATGAAATTTCGGTACGGTACAATACCGTACCATTACCGATTGGTACAAAAAATTTGGCACAAAATCGGTATGGCACGGTTGACAATTCGGTTGGCACGGCAATTTGGCAAAAAAATCCACCCCTAATTGAGACACCAAAATCGTTTAGAAAGGTGGATCCATGAGTGGTGGGCTTGCTTTGTCACATAGGCTTTTGTCTCATTGTTATCAAGAAGAGCCGAGTCAGACTGGAATAGTCCTCTTCTTTTAGCGACAAGATTGTAGAAATCTTCATCAAAGGTTTAAAGCTTCCAGGATCCATCTCAACGAGGCTAGTTGTGTCCCCTGGCTTGCATTTTGTCTTCAGCTGAGCTATGTAATTTTTGTCCAATTTTGGGTTTGTATCACCATTTCCGGTGAAATTATACAAGCGATTCATGAAGGACAGGCAGCGAGATATGCCGATTGTGTGTCCTCCTAAGAACAATGAAGAAAAGAGAGATCAGATCATGTTGATTAGGGTTTCATGAAGCAAAAACAAATAGAGAAATAAAATTTGCATGCATGTTAACGTAATAATATTCACCTGACAGAACCGCTAGGTCTTTAGCACTTAAACCCTTGGCAGCAAATGCTGCTTTGAGTTGAGTTATGTCAGCAAAAGGAGAAGGTAAGCCCCTGTTGGCCTCTGAGGCTAATGGCACTCTTCCATCTCTTCGTCCAGTCGGAACCTCCCAAAATGAGCGACGAACCTGGAAAAAATATATTCATTCATTTTGTCAGATATATGAAATTGACGTTTGTTTTTTTTATACAAACGATAGTGAGGGATGGGGAATCGAAGATCTCGGGTGCAGGAAAATATCCCTAACCAGTTGAACTACAATCCCCTTACACACGATATCCCTTTTTTAATTTAAAGAAACATCCATTCTTAATCTAATAATTATATTTAATAAATATTGATTTATGTGGAATGAGTTTAATTTGTACCATTCTTATTAACTACATTGTTAAAGATGAAAGAAATGGTACAGTGGAAGAGGAAGATGATAGAGAGAAAACCAGAAAGATTGTATTGATTAAATGGAGAAAATGTATACAAAAGAACTTAAAGAAATGATAGCTATACAATCCCTTATATAGCCATATAACCTAATTACAATAATACCCTTCTAACTATACTAACCAATCTTATCCTTATGACAACCTACCAACACATTTCAACTAACTATATTTCTTCATTACTAAGTAACCATGTCATCACTAATGACTATGGTTAATACTCCCCCCTCAAACTGAACTTGGTGTAGCCAAGTGAAGGTTGAACGATCTAGAACGCTGAAACTGATCTGGAACTGCAAGACCAAGATGTATGCAGGGGCTGTTGTCGTTCATCAATTCTGCCATGTTGGCTGGCTATTTCTCATTTATTGGTGGTGGTTCTGTGATGGCACAGGATGTTCCAAAATACATGATGGTGGCAGGAGAAAGAGCTGTGCTTCGTGGTCTTGGTCTGAACATACCCAACAAATGTTCGACAGTGAACTGAGAAGCCATAGTTGACATTGCCAAGAAACGAAATCTACCAAGGAGAATGACACTCCCAAGAAACTAAACTACCACGGAGAATGACACTCCAAGAAACTAAATCTACCAAGGAGAATGACACTCCAAGAAACCAAATCAGCCAAGGAGAATGACACTCCAAAGCACAACACAAATCTCACACTTCTACTAAAAATACCAAATAAGGAGACTGACACTCCATGAACACAAATCATACTGCAACTTAGGAGACTGACACTCCATGAACACAAATCATACTGCAACTGAGGAGAATGAAACTCCAAATCATACTGCAACTTAGGAGAATGAAACTCCAAGATTCATAGAAAGAATGACACTTTCTTCTTTAAATGATATATTATAGTTCTTATTTTTTTGTTTGGTCTCTGGATTTTTTTTTTCTTTATTACCTTCTCTGGCTGCTCGATGGTCCTTTTCTTCTGGGTTTTCTTGAATCTGTTGTGAAAAGATCCAAGCATTTCCATGGAGAACAGGAATCAAGAACCTCAATTTTTCATCTGGGTTTCACCGCAAATTTTGATTGGGGCTTCGAGCTTGGACAAATTGGGCTGCTGAAGAAAGATTTCCCCGGCTTGGCCAATCGGACCTCCGTGAGCCGCCTGATTATGTCGTCGAGCCTGGCAGTGTCCATCGCTCCCTGCTCCTGCGATGTCATTCGATTGGGTTCTCAGATCCTCCCCTCGAACGACTCGGATTTATGGGTTGATTTTTTTGTGAAGTTGTTGCTGACTCGCAGGAATTCCAAGTTCAATCTTTTAGGCTTTTGGGTGTTTGCAGACCACCACCAATGAAATATATGTCACTTATGCACTCCAGGTGTTTGACGAAATTCCCAGTTCAAAAGTTACTATGAAGGCTGCATACCCGGTTCATCAGAACTTGGTCAAACGGAGCAAACGCAGTTAGTATCGTCTAGAACTTGAAGAAAGAACCATGAAATTGCAGTTCAAGAAACGACGCCATGACAGAGCACCCTTTGGATCTCAGCACAGTAGAAGAGTCTTGATTTGATTAATCCGTCTTACAGTTCGTACCTTGTCACAAAACGCGTTGCGTCACCGCCTCGATTTCTTTATTGCGTGATTCCTTTCTTCTGGTGTTGTCTGATCCTGATTCTTCCGCTGTTATCGCCTCCGAGGGTTGTCGCAGAGGTGCGAAGTTGGAACGATGGAGTGGCAGTCTTCGTGAATTGTTGTTGGATGTGTCCGAAATCAGAGTGTTGGATTCTTCTGGGTTGCTCAGTGTCTTCGTGATTGTTTCAGGTGTTGTTATTCCTTTAATTCGAAGATTATAGTCAATTTTTGATTTCTGGGTTGCTAAATTCTCAAGTTGTTGAAGTGGGATATTTCTGATTGATCTGGGATGCATATGTTGATTTGGGTGTTTGTGTTCATCTGCATATATTGTATTGGATATGTTGATGTGTAGAAATACGAAGTTTTGTAGTCAAGAAAATGTCAATCTTTCAAGACAGTGTTATTCTTTCTGCATCAACAATGTGTGGGAGTTTCTGCGATTCTGTTGATCTGGTGAAGACATTGGGTGTTTGTTGAAGCTGTGGTATTTGATGTACTTTCGAGGTTTAATTGAAGTGAAGCTGTGGTCTTGATGTGTTGATCTCTGCAAGTATTAGTTTTCTTGTCAATTTAAAGAAGAAAGTGTCATTCTTTCTATGAATCTTGGAGTTTCATTCTCCTAAGTTGCAGTATGATTTGGAGTTTCATTCTCCTCAGTTGCAGTATGATTTGTGTTCATGGAGTGTCAGTCTCCTAAGTTGCAGTATGATTTGTGTTCATGGAGTGTCAGTCTCCTTATTTGGTATTTTTAGTAGAAGTGTGAGATTTGTGTTGTGCTTTGGAGTGTCATTCTCCTTGGCTGATTTGGTTTCTTGGAGTGTCATTCTCCTTGGTAGATTTAGTTTCTTGGAGTGTCATTCTCCGTGGTAGTTTAGTTTCTTGGGAGTGTCATTCTCCTTGGTAGATTTCGTTTCTTGGCAATGTCAACTATGGCTTCTCAGTTCACTGTCGAACATTTGTTGGGTATGTTCAGACCAAGACCACGAAGCACAGCTCTTTCTCCTGCCACCATCATGTATTTTGGAACATCCTGTGCCATCACAGAACCACCACCAATAAATGAGAAATAGCCAACATGGCAGAATTGATGAACGACAACAGCCCCTGCATACATCTTGGTCTTGCAGTTCCAGATCAGTTTCAGCGTTCTAGATCGTTCAACCTTCACTTGGCTACACCAAGTTCAGTTTGAGGGGGGAGTATTAACCATAGTCATTAGTGATGACATGGTTACTTAGTAATGAAGAATATAGTTAGTTGAAATGTGTTGGTAGGTTGTCATAAGGATAAGATTGGTTAGTATAGTTAGAAGGGTATTATTGTAATTAGGTTATATGGCTATATAAGGGATTGTATAGCTATCATTTCTTTAAGTTCTTTTGTATACATTTTCTCCATTTAATCAATACAATCTTTCTGGTTTTCTCTCTATCATCTTCCTCTTCCACTGTACCATTTCTTCATCTTTACAATGTAGTTAATAAGAATGGTACAAATTAAACTCATTCCACATAAATCAATATTTATTAAATATATTATTAGATTAAGAATGGATGTTTCTTTAAATTAAAAAAGGGATATCGTGTGTAAGGGGATTGTAGTTCAACTGGTTAGGGATATTTTCCTGCACCCGAGATCTTCGATTCCCCATCCCTCACTATCGTTTGTATAAAAAAAACAAACGTCAATTTCATATATCTGACAAAATGAATGAATATATTTTTTCCAGGTTCGTCGCTCATTTTGGGAGGTTCCGACTGGACGAAGAGATGGAAGAGTGCCATTAGCCTCAGAGGCCAACAGGGGCTTACCTTCTCCTTTTGCTGACATAACTCAACTCAAAGCAGCATTTGCTGCCAAGGGTTTAAGTGCTAAAGACCTAGCGGTTCTGTCAGGTGAATATTATTACGTTAACATGCATGCAAATTTTATTTTTCTCTATTTGTTTTTTGCTTCATGAAACCCTAATCAACATGATCTGATCTCTCTTTTCTTCATTGTTCTTAGGAGGACACACAATCGGCATATCTCGCTGCCTGTCCTTCATGAATCGCTTGTATAATTTCACCGGAAATGGTGATACAAACCCAAAATTGGACAAAAATTACATAGCTCAGCTGAAGACAAAATGCAAGCCAGGGGACACAACTAGCCTCGTTGAGATGGATCCTGGAAGCTTTAAACCTTTGATGAAGATTTCTACAATCTTGTCGCTAAAAGAAGAGGACTATTCCAGTCTGACTCGGCTCTTCTTGATAACAATGAGACAAAAGCCTATGTGACAAAGCAAGCCCACCACTCATGGATCCACCTTTCTAAACGATTTTGGTGTCTCAATTAGGGGTGAATTTTTTTGCCAAATTGCCGTGCCAACCGAATTGTCAACCGTGCCATACCGATTTTGTGCCAAATTTTTTGTACCAATCGGTAATGGTACGGTATTGTACCGTACCGAAATTTCATGGTACGGTATTGGTAATGGATACCATTACCATGATATTACCGTACCATACCAAAAATACAATATAATATATCATTTACCATAATATATTTATTATATAACATACAAAGAAATTTCTATTTATACTTAAAAAATAAAATAAACAGTTGTCCTGGAATACATACATGCAAACTAGAAATGATATATAAATTATAAAGTACTATAACATATTGGAAACATGAGGAACAAATATATAATGAGTGTTTGTCTAAGTATCCAACAAGTCTCTTACAATTTTTTGAAAAAAAATAAAGGGAGACTTTGGATTCGGTCCCTAGCCACTAATACTCATTGGTTAAAACCTTAGTGGTTTTCAACTTTTGATTAAAGTCCTTTGACTTTGTAAACCTCATCATATTAATATTAATGTATTTTCATCTCAACAATAAAACTTGAGATTTTATGGTATTTAAAATCTCACATCTAATGAGCAATAAAAAAAGGGCCAACAAAAAATATGGAAATTTTTCAAAAAATTTATTGAATAAAAAATCAATATAACAATATAATTCCTTTTGAAAATGTATAGTAATAGATGTTAAGTACATGTTCGCATATATATGTATCAATCAATTGGAAACAGTGTTAAAAAAGTGCCAAAAGAATGTATCCAACATTGTTATGAATTATAAAAAAGAATGTTTCCAACATTGGTATGAATGATAAAATAGTTGTCACATGTCAAAAGAATGTACTCGTACATTTGCCATATATAATTATCTATGGGGTACAATTTCAATATTGTTCCAAAAGTAAAATGTTTTAATATGTAACCCATAAAAATGTTTAAAAAAATGTACTCATATAATTATATAAGTACAATGGTGCACGTAATTATAATTTTAAACAATGTGGGTTCATTTTATACAAAAAATGGGGAAGTTTTATATTAAAAAAAATGGGTACATTTTATATAGAAAACAATGCGTACATTTTATATAAACAACAATGGATACATTTTAGAAAGAAAAAAAGATTTACATTAAAAAATTGGTAAATTTTACATATAACAAGTGGTACATTTTCAAAGATACATGGATACATTATAAATAAATTATGGGCACCAATAAAATGGGCAAAAAATTATGAGTACAAATAAAAATTTAAACAATATGGGAACAAAAAAAATTAATATATGGGTACAATTTAAAACTATAAAGAAAAATGGTACAACTTAAAAAAAAAAAAAAGGTTGCAAATTAAAAATGGGTACAAATTAAAAATAGAAATATATGATATAATTTAAAACGGGTACAAATGGGTACAAACTAAAAATAGAAATATATGATACAAAGTTTAGTCATAAATATAAATATACTAAATGTAACGTTTCTAACACTAAATGAATATATTACTACATGAATATATTTAGTAATAAAATTTAATTGTCTTGACACGTAAAAATTTTATTATTAAAATAATGACATTCATTAAAACCTAAGAGCCTTGATCAAAAGTTGAAAATGAATAAGGTTTTAATCAATGGAGTAGGAAAAAAAAAGGATGAGAACCTAATTTCTTCAAAAATAAAATGCAAAACGAAAATTATCTATTTTCTATCTAAGTAAGAGTTACAACCTAGACGGTTTACTATGCAAGTCTAGGCAACATTTTTTATTTTTTAAACGTCTAGTGATTAATTGTAGTAGTAGCATATCGCCTAACGTCTAGGCAAAGTCTAGGCGATACTTTTAGACAGTGATCACAACACACAAAGTCGTTATATCTCATTTGGAAAAACCAAATGGTCAATAGCTCCCAATGGTAAACTTCATGAAAAGGCATTTCTTGTATTGTGGGCAACATACCTGCTGGTTCATTGCAATTAAACAAGACTTCTAATATTGCTGCTGCTTGATCAGTTTGACCATCATCATTTTTTGTGTTACGTTTCAAGTCGATGGATGCACAACAAAGATCACAGTGCCTCGTACAACTGCTACAAGAATTCTCGAGTTCGACTAGTCGCATCTGACTTAAGGTTTAACAGTAAGTTATTTACTTTTACGCGTATGAAATTTTTTTCTGTAGACAAATTATAATTTGACACATGTGCAAAATTTTTTTAGGATTTTTATCATAAATGGTCCTTGAAATTGACCACCCCATCAAAATAGTCTTTGAAATTGAAAATCAATCAATATGATACCTGAAAATGGATATCATATATCAATGTGGTCATTCCATCACAAATTTGTCAAAAATTCTGCTATGTGCTAATGTGGCAAATAATTGGGTTCCACAAGTCTAATTAAATATTGACATTTGAATTAAAAATAATAAATAATAACTTTTATTTTTGCATAATGTAAAACTTAAAAAAAATTAAAAAAAAGAAGATGAACAGATGCTTCACCATTGCTTCGGAGCGACAGTCACTTACCTCCCTGTGATGCCATTCTTCTTATTTTTATTTTTTTATTTTTGGACAAGGGGTAAAATTCATTACCAACAAACACAAGTAAAACAAAGGCCCAAAACAAGTTATACACAAACAAAAAGGGGCCACACACAAACAAAAGGCAAAGCCCCAAGCCCAACCTTGGAGTACAACACACACAAACAAACAAAACGGAAAAAACCTAAAAATCCAGTCTTCCAGAAACTTGAGACGCTGAAACCGACACCGGAGAGCCACCCAACAAACATCACAATCAACCTCCAATCACGATCACTTAAGATCACACCACCAAAAACCCTAGAAATGATGAAGACAAAAGCCACAACTTCCTCAAAGTACCAGCAAGAACCGCCGCTAGGAGAACAAGGAAGCACGCAGGGAGAACTCACGAGCAACAACGCCAGCAAGGGCGAACTATAGGAGGGACCAACAACGGTCAACAAGGTGTTTGTGAGAATGAGGTTTTAGGTTCGGGTTTTGGAAGTGTTGGTGTTCGTTGTGCAGTCGTGGTTGTACTTAATTAGGTGGGTATATATTTATTAGAAGCAAGGACGGGGCTAGTGTTGGCTTAGGGGGGTGGATGTCCCCACTCATTTAAAAAAATGTATGATTGCGTTCCAATTCTCAATAACCAGCCCTATACTAGTCTACCGTTTTGGATCCCAAATGCCCTACCTAATGACAATTTAATTAATAATTAATTTAATTGTGCCTCCCCGTTTCTAACCTTAGGTCGTTAATCCACACAAAACTCATCCCACCACGTACGGCAAAGCAATTCGAATCCTCAACTTCTCTAGATTTTTCCTCCCCTTTCATTCAACCAAAACTCAATTGAATTTGTAGTGTTATGGACAATTGGAGTTCAAGTAATCAATTATCAAAATTCAACACAAGAATTTTACTCCACAAGGTATTTTATATGACTTTACTTCATTAATTTGTTTTTGGCATTTCAATTTAGAATTTAGCTTTCTAATTTAGAGATCAATGGATGAATTATAAAATGATTATTTTTATATAAAGAGATATTTAATGGTATTGGTAATGATATTGTTATGCAATGCTTTCAAAACATGAAAATGATTCGAGAAATATTGTAATATGTTGTATGAAAAACTTTATGGATTAATATATTAGTGATTTGTTCAATAAAGTCTTGAGATTTTTAATTATGACTTTGTTGTTTAAGGATGCCCCCGCTCATACAAATATTTGACTTCGTCCCTGATCCGAAGACATTTAATTTCTCACAGCCTAAATTTTTGGGTGCCAAAAACAACGAAAACCATGATAAAACATTGTTATCCTTGTTTTTTTTCTTTCTGCTCAGATTGCAAACTTTGTGGGCTGTTGCTTCCTCTCTCCAGCTGTGTTTGTTAAAACCTTAAGGCCTGCACAGCCAACAAAACATTCCATTCGTTTTGTGTTAATCCTTTTAAAAGATTCAACAAAATGATATGTTGGAGATTCAGTTAACAAATTGAATCTTTTATGGCTGCAAAGCAAATTCCATTCATTCTATGCTAGGGTGGGAGGGGAAGAACATCATCATCTTCTTCTTCTTTTTTCCTTCTTTTTTTTTTTGAAGTTTTTAATTATACTAAAATAAAAAAGATATTTATCATTTAATTATTTTTAATCCAAATGTCAATATTTAATTTGTCACAACCTATCCCGAAATAATATATTTTAGGTATAAAATGTCAAGTATGCCTTTGAACGGTTGTAATGTTGTGTGGTTTAAACTTTGGATTTGGACCAATTCATCAAGTCCTTAATATTTTGGTACCAATTAGAATTTAAAGACTTAAGGTTTTGTGCTATTGGTGACGCAATTAGGACCACACACACACCACACGTGCATACTCAGATCTCTCCCTCTCATTTTTTTCGCATTTCTGCAGTGTACGGACAAAACTTGGATCAAGTATTCTAGGCATGGATCGAAGGTTTGAAAGGTGATTTTGAACTCCTAGCACGCCCAGGAATCCAACCATACCTTTGGTTGAACTCAAAACCTTCGGAAACCAGAGAACCAAGAACCTCAGATTTGATGCACTGTTCATGCACACGTAAATGTGGAATTTTTGGAAGATTCTAAGGTAATAGGAAGCTTTGGATCGTCTTCACGAACGTCGGAGAAGAAAAACCTGTTGGAAGTATGCCCACAAAGCCACTCATTTGATGTAATAGCTTTTGGAATACTTATTGTATTAAACTATTATATGTTTAATGAAAGGCAAAGCTTATTGTTAATCACTATTTATTGTATCATGTGTTTAAGCAATAAGGGAATCCAAGGAATGTATTTGATCTAAGAGAGAAGTGATTTAAGTAAGTTAGATTAATGAGACATTTCTCTTATGTTCATTCCTAAA